CCCCCCCCCCTCCCTCATGGGAGGGCGGAGAGGGGAAGGACTTGGTTTTGTTTCATTGTACTTCGCTTTCCTTTCAGCACACTTGCAATGTGTCCTTCTGATGCACAATCAGAAAGCCATGGCGGAGATGGTGCGCTCTCTTTCCCATGTGCCTTGTTGGGGTTCGTTTTTTCAACGCTCTTTGCAGACCCACATGAACCGTTTTTTTTTTTTCTCTCCTCCTCTTTTTCGTTCTGTGCGGCTGGTTGAATAGATGGAGCAAAGATACAAACAAGGAAGAGTACTGAGGCCGTGAGGGGTGTACTTGCCAAGGTTGAGCAGCAGCAGTGACTCTGGCGGCGACTGAAGAGGTGCTTTGGCGCCGGCGCCTGCAACGTTGCGCGTGGCCAACGGTGTCCAGACATGTGAGTGTGGCACGCAGTGCTGACAGTAAGAGTGCGCTTATCCATGGACTCACACCGAGTGCAGCTGGACACTTTGGAGGGTGAGGAGAACAAGAGGTGTGACGGCTCTTGTTAGCGACGGGGAATCGTGTGCTGTGCTCTGCCGACAGAGACACCTCAGTGGGCAGACATCAGCAGTTGTGATGTGATGAGACATGAATGCTCCTCTGGAGAGCTATGGGGGGAGGGGTGACGCTCCAATGGTGCGCCGCAGAAGAAAACTGATGCACTTTTTTACTACCCTGTCTCTGCTCCTCCCTGATCTTGCCTAACTCCTTCTTGCAGGACAGGCTCACTGTTTTCTTATAGATTCCATGCCATTCATACTGCAGGAGCCGTGTGAATTCGTCACACCACTATTGGAGATCACGTACATGATCGACCCTCTTCCCTTCTCCATGTCGGCGTCGTTGGAACGCGTGATTGGATGGCGTGTATACAATCAGCCACCGCTCTTCAGCCACGGGAGTGAGAAGCGGTACATCTACACGCATCGGTATGCTCTTAACTACCGCTGCCGGTATAAGCTGTCCGCTGTCACGAACGATCCGATAGGGAGCATTGATGTTGGCCAGCAGTTAATCCTACGATATCAGTTAAACCCATACCGTCCACCGTATCTTCCGCCGCCACGTGGCTTTGAGGATGACATTTTTCGAAATCAGCGGCCGTATCTCCGCGAAGTATTCATGGAAGCTGTGCCGCTGTTGCCCAGTGACTGCTCTACCGAGTCGCTGTCCGCTGCTGCGTCACACACCATGTGTGGTGTAAACGTGTACACAAAGGCAAAAGGAGTGTTTTCCTGCTTTCCGTGCGGAGGTCGAGATGGTCTCGTGCTGATCTACTCCACTGTGCCAAGCCTGAAGAAGGCACTACAGAGGCGCTTTGATGCGAGCCTCAAAAGCCTTTCGCTGATTGTGGATGATGTCTTTGTGGACTGGGATAGTCTTGGTATGGTGAGCCTGAATGAGCTGCATGAAATGGGTGCCCTGTACATCGAAGGAATGGGACGTGATGTCTTTGACATGCAGTTGCGTGTGCGCCGTGCACGGCACCGTTTGTGTTGAACGCGTTTTTTTATTAACAGATGCATGCCTCCGCGTGGATCCTGCGCGATTGCAGCGTAGGGAGAAGTCTACGTGTGTGCAGGTTGACAGTAATGACTTTTGTTGCTTTGTGCCGCGCGGTCTCTTCTTTCTTCCTTTCTTTTTGTTTGGGAGCCTCCGTGCGTGGTGATTCACTGTGCGCCGGGTGATGCAGGGCACGTGGTGTCTTGTGTGCCTTCGCGTGCACATCTTTTTTTGTTTTTTTGTTGGTTGGGCTCTCTCTTCGCTGGTGCAATTCCCCTTGTTTGTATGCTGCAGGGCGCCCTGTGTGCCTGTCTGTCTGTGTCCCGCCGCCCTGCGCTCTGCTCCACGCTCCCCCTTCACCCCTCCACGCAAACGATGAACACACACACGCAGAGAGAAGGAAAGCACCGCAAGTCTCAGGATGGTCCGCATGCACGGTAACGGCCACGGCAAGGCAAAGACGGCAACGCGCGCTGTGGTTGCTGGAGCAGCGGATGAGCCTCGATCATCTTAAGCGACTTCGACGCTCCATGGAAAGGTGGACTCAGTTTGTGAAGAGCCAGAGGGAAACCCGCCACTCACTGATTCTTGTAGAAACGCTCTCATCGGTGTTGGTGAATGAGGCAGCGCTGCGGGCTGGGATGTACTTCAAGTGGTATCGCTTTGCCCTCTTTGATGCCAAGCTGCTGCGCCTTGAGGAGGAGAAGACGACAATGCAGCGCGAGTGGGTCATTGTGCAGAACGCGGTGGACAGAGGGAATCTGTGCCTGAGCTTTGTGGTGAGGTTGAGGAATTGGAGGTGGCGATTGCTCAGCTGGCGTTTGAGCGGGACGAGGTGGAGAGCCAGAATGCGGCTCTTCACTCCGATTTGGAGTACCTGCATGTGCAGAAGTCGCTTGACTGTCTCCTCGCCCTCTACCGTGACCCGCCCGAAGTTACTCGGGGAGCCCGCGGCTCTGGCTCTGTGCAGCGCAACCGGCGCTCGAACAACACAAGCCGTGACCGCGTGTTAGCGTTGCTTGACGATGAGCATGGTGCTGGGGGCGGCGAGGCCGCGACGCTACGGCAGGTTGGGGCTGTGCTGCGTGCACTCAAAGCCACCGCCTTGCGTTGCGGGCGGCACAGAACACTCATTGCGGCGGCACAAGAGCGTGTCGCACAGCTGCACATCTACGAGGGGCCACATGAAGGCGGCGGTGAGCGGAGCGCGAGCATATCGTTCTGCTCCACCGGTGGGGAGTCTTCAACGTTGCGCTCGCTGGTTAATACATCGGTTGCAGGCGGAGGGGTGGTGGGAGGGGGAGAGGGACGACAGACAAATGAACGTCGCAAAAGTGCCTCGAGTACTGGTTTTTTTCCCCTCTGCTTGGCTGACGAGTTTGATCGGACAGCACAACGATTGCAGGCGGTACTCGAGGACGCCGCAAGGCAGACTGGAGTCGAACTTGACGAGTCTCTCAATCCAGCGCGCCTTCCTGCTGTGCTGGACCAAGGCGATCACAACAGCACCGTGAATAGCACCGGAAGTGTGACCGACAGTACTTCTCTGCGCTGGATCGATTTTGTCCCTCCCAATGTACGGGCTGAGGCCCTCCCACTGATCGTCGATCTGGTCGCTATGTTTGATTCCGTGAAGGCACACAGTGATACGGAGGTTGAGGGCAATGGGAGGACGCTGTCTACCAGAGGTGCAGCAAGAACTGTCCCACTGCCTCTGCGGAGCCTTTGTAAGCCACAAACGGCGGTATGGCTCGTGCGGCACGCTGCTGTTCTTTTAGAGCTAATGTCTCCCGGTCTCTGGAAGCGCCATCTAAAGCTGCGGGTTTTGGCCGATGGTGTGGCAACGATCAGCACCGATGCAGGATGCAGCGACGGAGCAGAAACTTCACCCGCAAGGTCAGTAGCGACGACAGTTACTGTGAGTGGATCTTCATATGCCCAGCACGTTCGTAGCGAGCATACGGGCCAAAGGAGCACAACGCCACAACGTTCGCAGCGACAGCTGTGCCCAAAGTTGTCCATGGAGGAAATCAGCACACAACCCAAGAGGAGTCGCCCCATATCATGGAGTGCGCCTGTATCTCGTGCGCAGAGCTCCCACCTGGCGTCGTCTTCATCGAAGCGACGCCCAACAGCATCGAATAAACGATGTATACCCCCCAGTAGCAACTCCGTGACACCACGCGGCCAACGCCGTGATGACGTTGTGGAGGATGAGTGCGGCGGACCATGCCCGCTGCCGCCTATTCCTTCACCTGCGCCGCACTCTAGTGGGTCTACCCCGACGAAAGGAATATATTCTTCTAGCGCCACCCGACCTTACCTCGGGTTCCGCGTTGCTGTGGGCCGTGACGATGCTGGCCACACCACGTTGACGGTCCATGAAGTTACTGAGAGCTATGTTGGTAGCAACAGTGATGTTGCGCAAGTGGGCCCAGCCTTCGCCGCCGGCTTGCGTGCTGGGGATCAGCTGATTCGATTTGCTGGCTACGCCGTGACGGAGCTTGCTTCATTTAACGCTGTTGTGGCGCGACACGTGCGGCCATCCGGGTCTGTCCCAGTGGTTATCTCCCGTGATGGCGAGCTCATGTCGGCAACCATCGTAGTAGGGGAGAAGTCCCGCAGCGTGGGCCTTTAATCCCCCCCCCC